TAGAATAGCATTATATGCTTAAACATTAAGATTTGTACTCGTGGAAATTACTAAAGTAATCAAACCTGTTCATTAGAAGGGGGTGTCCCAATACTTTTGGCATTATAGTGTATATTGAAGATGACTCCAATAGACATTGAGCTGAGGTGTCTGTGTGTCTGTGTGTCTGTGTGTCTGTGTGTCTGTGTGTCTGTGTGTGTGTGTGTGTGTGTGTGTGTGTGTGTGTGTGTGCAGACGGAGCCCCCCAGCCAAAAACACGTCCAGATCCAGAAGGAGTTGTGGAGGATTCAGGATGTGATCGAGGCCCTGAACAAGAACAAACCCAAGAGAAACGCAGAACCCAGTGAGAGAACAAGAAAAACACACTCCACACTGATATTATCTGACTGATAATCAACAACACTTCACTAACAGACATGAGCAACAGTAATGACACTTTCTTCAGATTTCTACTTGTTCTGCCAATGTTTCTATTGGCCTCAGCATGAAAATTATCATTTTAAAAATCTTTTTATAATCTGTAGATGTTCATGTTATTTAAGAGTTATTTTACAATTTTTATACTTTATATATGTTTATGTATTTGTATTATTTATTAACATGTATTTTTCATGCACCTTTTTCTTCATTAATAATTTACAATAACACAAGACAAAAATATATTTTTAAAACTATTTCCAATTTCCATTTTATAATTCTATATTTAGTTTTATACTTTAATGTGTGTATTTTTAAATCTGTACATTTGCATGTATTAAAATGTATGTTTGAATTATTATTGTACTTTTTATATGCATCATATATTTTTTCATAAAAAAATTCTTTACAGTAATTTTCAATAATAACACAAGACAAAAAGTATACCATTTTAAACCTTTTTCCCATTTCCATTTAATAATTCTGTATTTAGATTTATACTTTAAAATGTCTGAATTTAAAACTATACATTTTAATATAAAGATTTATTTTACAATTATCATTTTCACATGTATTTTTAATACATTTTGTCATGAAAATGTATCTTTACAATACTTTCCAATGATACCTCAAACAAAATTTGTAAACCTTTTTTCCATTTCCATTTTATAACTCTATATTTATACTTCAAAATGTCTTATTTTAATTCATGCATTTTCATATATTAAGATTTATTTTGCAATTATTATCGTTTTTACATGTTTTTTAATTTGCCGGCTATTTAGCAGTTATTATTAGTTATATTAATATTATTTATATACTGTTATAGTATTTATTAACAATTTAATTTAAATTTTAGTTTAAATTGTATTATTTGTTTACATTTTTGTCATTTTTATTAGTCTGTTCATTTTTTTATATCACAGTTTACCTTGAATTGATTTTTTATTTAAACTATAGTTTTAGTGATAAGTATTAAAACGCATTTTAGTTAGTTGTCAGGGTTTTTCATCTTATATTTATTTATTATTTAATTCCAGCTTTATTTCAATTAACTGAAACCGTAGTTTTCATTTTAGTTAAGAAAAGCAACACTAGCAGCCATGAATTCATAAAGATTTTACCCTCCACCTCCTGTATTTGTAGGTTTTCCTGGCGCAAACCCCCTGTCAAACCTGCATAAAAGTGAAGTAAGTGGTTATTCCCGACCTCATGATAATGTTTGTGTAATTGTTTAAACGAGTGCACGGACACACACTTCAATTCCAGAGAGAATCATGATGCATTCCGAAAATCTCCGAATCGATCCACGATTCGCGATGCATCGATTTATTGTCCCAGCCCTAACACATAGACAGACACACACTAGCGATCCTCAGCACGAGTTGACCTGTATTGTGCTGCTGTGGTTGGTTGTTGGCCGTGACTGTGGGTTGTGTGTAGGAGTCAGACTCAGTGCCTCCGCGTCCTCCTCTCCCGTACTCTTATGAGGGGGGAGACCGGCCTCCTCATGCGCCTCGCACCACCCCTCACCGGCCCGAGGACCGCAAGGCCGCCCAGCGCAACGGCGCCCACAGCGTAAGACGCAGCTGTGACCCCCTCGCCCATCCCATCCCATCTTCATTAACCCATCGCCATCGCTTCAGAAACCCAGCGTCAGTTTGCTTTTGAGATTAGATTGTGTTTGTTAGCGATCTGCCATTCTCAGATGAAAAAAACACATCCGCTTTGCGTTTATTCCCCATTATCTCAGCCTCATCAGTGGATATTCAGTTATTTCTGCCTGATTTTTTTAGTTTTTTCCTGACCAACTATACATCATTTAACGTCATAAACATTTTCTGACAGATTTTTTAAAAATCTGTATTCATTTTTACTGACCACCTATACATTATTTAACATCTTTCAGCCTGATTTCTTTCCAATTTTTGTACATTTTTCCTGACCACCTATACATCATTTAATGTCATAAACAATTTCACACAGATTTTTTCCCCAGTTATTATGTAATCAATTTATACTGACCCCATTTACATTAACACTGTAAACAATTTCAGACAGTTTTTTTTTCAATTTTTATTTATTTTCTTTTTAAATTTGTATACATTTTTACTGACCACCCGTATATAATGTAACATCTTAAATAATTTCAGCCTGATTTCTTTCGAATTTTTATGTTAATTTTTGCTGACCACTTGTACAGAATTTAAAATCATTAACAATTTCTGACAGATATATATATTTTTTTTTTCAATTTTGACTGACCACCTATGCTTTGTTTAACATTCTGAATAATTTTTGCCTGATTTCTTTCAAATTTTTACTGACTACCTATACATGATTTAACATCTTACACAATTTCTGGCTGATTTTTTCCCCAATTTTTGTTTTTAATTTATACTGACCACCTATACATTATTTAACTTTGTCAAATAAATAAATACATTAAAAAATAAAACCACTACCTATACTTTAGGTTATTCAGTGTTATTAAAATAAATAAATGAAGTATATTTTAATAATAATAATACCAATAAGAGCAGCCATTAAACATTTCTAAATGAAATAAATTATTATTTCTATTTTATTTAGCCTATTTGAAATATTAAATTGCATAAATTATGTGCCTGCATTATGTCAGTCGCCTACTCTTTAGATACCAGCTTTTGAAGGAATATTTCACCCTAAAAAAGCCATTTGTGTCATTATTTACTCATCCTCATATCACTACAAGCTTGTATAGTGCTATTTTTCCTTTTTCCTCTGTAATGAAGAAATAGTTCACCGTTTTCATTTTGGGCAGAATATTCATGTTAAAAAACAAATTTTTCAAAAAGCCATTTGGGTTGACTTGGTTTTTATTTCAAGTGTTTTTTTGCTTTTTAACCTCTTGGTTTTTACAAACATTCATCCTTGAGCGCTTCCTGTAAGACATCCAGTAGATCAGCAGCATCGCGTAGGTTTTGTAGCTCATCCTTTGTGAGGCTTAGTTTGTTTTTTGTTCCCATTTTAATATGTAATCCATGATCATAACCTTCACCTAATGCCAGCAGAATGGGTAAATCATGTGTAAACGGGTGAAATCTCTGCTCTCAGGGGCCCGATTACAGACTGTATAAGAGCGAGCCGGAGCTCACCACCGTAGCCGAGGTCGACGAGAGCAACGGCGAAGACAAATCTGAGCAGACAGCAGAGAAAGAGCTGCCCGGTGTCACCAAAGGTGCCTGACAAACACATCAAACATAACTCTTTATCACTTCTATCTCTGCATATATCACTTAAAGTCCTAAAGGTGTTCCTGCTGGCCGCTGATCTCTCTCTGTCTCTGTGTGTCAGGTGTAGTGTACCCCGTCGGAGTGGTCAGTCCCAGGACTAAATCACCCATGCCTGAATCCTCCACCATCGCCTCTTATGTCACCTTGAGGAAGAGCAAGAAACCTGATCCCAGAACAGTAAGGATGCAGTTTATTCTGTAGACCACATACTGCTTTACAAATCATGTTTAATAGAATGTAATGTAGATTTTCTGAGGAAAAATGTGAATTGTGTTTGACTTTGCAAAACAAATGGTTGTGCTGGTTGGTTAAATTCTTCTGGTTAGATTTGGCTTAACACAGACTAATAAACATTTGAAACAATAATATGCTGTGCTGGTGGCATGACTTTAGCTTCCAGTTATCATCTGAGAAATAAAAAGGTTATTTTGCATTTTAGATTCAATTTTATGTATTTTTAATATAACATAAGTTAATAAATTAGTTTTTATAGTTGTGTATATTTTAATAAATGAATATATCATATAAAATATTCATGTATATATAATTAATTTTTTTAAGTTAATACTTGATAATTTTTTATAATATTAGCTTTAATAATATATTTTATATTATTTTTAATATACATTTTTGTACTAGTTTTTGTAATATTTTGTGTTAATATACGAATATATAATCTAAAATACATCCTAATGCATCCAATTTAAATATGCGTGTGTATACATTTCATATTATTCAATGTATTCAATTATATATATATATATATAATTTAATAATACACATACATATATATGTATGTTTACACACACACACACACACACACACATATATATATATATATATATATATATATTAATGAAAATACTATATTATATAATAATATTTCTATGATAATTATACATTAAAAATTATTTTGCTTAATATAGAATTTTTGTATTTTACATGAATATTTGTTTAATACGTATGTGTTTGTTTATGCATATATATATATAATATACACATTTTGCTTTAATATATAATTTTTGCTTATTTTATATTAACATTTGTTAAGTATATGCATTTGTGTATGCATGTACAGTGTAATATGCGTGTGTTTAGTCCCAGCCGCAGGACCGTCCGCGCAGTGCGGTTGAGCACATGAGCAGCGCTGTAGAGGTGGGCCGAACACGCATGAGCGTGGAGGAGCAGATGGAGCGAATCAGGAGGCACCAGCAGGGGGCGCTGCGTGAACGAAGACGAGAGGACGGATCGCTGTCCCGCAGCCTCTCCTTCACCAAAGACAACCCCTACTACACCCTACAGGTACCAGAGTTTATGTGCTTAAAAATACACTGGCCAGCTTGTAATTTCTGCATTTTAAACATGAGATACACTATATTGCCAAAAGTATTGGGACACCTCCTTCTAATGAACAGGTTTGACTACTTCAGTCATTTCCATGAGCACAAATCTTAACGTTTAAGCATATAATGATATTCCAGGGAATTGTGTGCTTCTAATTTTATAGCAACAGTTTAGACAGGATGCTTTTCTCTTCTAACATGACAGTGCCTCTGTGTATAAGGCAAGGTTCAAAAAGAAATGATTGATTGAGTCAGTGTGGAAGAACTTGACCGGTCTGCAGAAAGCCAGCTGGACACCTCCGGAGTGACTTTAAATGCAGACCTTGAGCCAGAAACTCATCACTAAACACCTGTGACTTGTACATATGGGTACAGTCATTTTAGACACTTCCAAAACTGTGACAACAAAGATGGAAACATAACTCATGTATTTAAAAATTGTATTTCTATCTCTGTTGCAACAGTTTTGGAAGTGTCTAAAATGACTGCACCCATATGTACAAGTCACAAGTGTTTTTTTTTTAAATACATGAATTATGTTTCCATCTTTGTTGCCACAGTTTTGGAAGTGTCATGTTAGAACAGAAAAGCGTCCTGTCTAAACTGTTGCTATAAAATTAGAAGCACACAATTCCCTGGAATATCATTATATGCTTAAACGTTAAGATTTGTGCTCATGGAAATGACTGAAGTAGTCAAACCTGTTCATTAGAAGGAGGTGTCCCAATACTTTTGGCAATATAGTGTATGTTGTTATTGGCTGGGAATTTTGTTGCCTCCTGTTGCTGTTTTACTTGGAGGACAGAAATATGGCACAGTAAACCTGTTATATATATGACAATAAACCTGTTAGTTGACTGTATCATCTGAGGTTTTTAAATGCTCGGCCATGACCTACACTGTCTCACATGAGTGAAGCAGCTCAGACTACCAAAGGACATGAATACATCAATAACGGACCATCGTGTCACATTCCCATCATGCCTCTGGTCCTGAGGGCTCCTCCTCTCATAAACCTGCTCTGTCCGGTTCAAAGCCATGAGTCACTGTGCTGCTGATGATTCCCCACAGCGCTGCACTTTGCAGTTTTCCGGTTCGCTTCGCTGTGTTCCTGCCAGGCTTTAGAATGGATGTCTGTGAACGTCTCCAGCGTTTCTTGCTTATCGCTTCCTCTTCTGTTCCCTCAGATGCGTAAGAAGAGCCCGGTGATCTCTCCAGATGAGCAGGACGACCGCAGAGACACGTCGCCTGAGGAGCAACCACAGCTGACGACCAAACCGACCGATGCAGAAGAAAACTGCAAGAATACTGAAGATGTGGAATCTGGAAATGCCTTGGAGAACAAGGTACATATTCATACACACAAACAAACATTTCCAAGAACAGCTGTCCTGGAAAAACTTGAAGTATGATATTAATATGTAATTTACAATTTACAATATATACTGTATATATACATATTGAGAGAAAGAATTATATATATATATATATATTACTACTAAAGTTTGCCTAGGGTTGTTATAGTTAACTAAAACATAAACATAAAATAATCATTAACTAAAAAAAATAATAATAATAACTTTAACTTTATTTTATTCCAGCCAGTTGCTAAGGAAACATTTCTCAAATTTATTTAGTTTACCTTTGTGTAGCAAAATACAGTAACTAAAACTGAAATAAATAAATGATTAAAGACTATATGGGCATTTAAAAAAAAAAAAAGTATAATAAAAATGTCAAAGGCGCACAACAAAATGACTAAAACTGTAAGAAAAAATATGGAAAATGTTACAACCTAATTAAAGCTATGAATAAAAAACATCTTAATGATACTAAAATAACACTGCTAAAAGAAACAGTTGATCATGGTCATAAAGCAAAATATTACATTTATTATATATAATATTCTGGTTGGGTTAGGTCAAGCTTTATAATATTATTATTATGTGTTATATGTGCCAATTTTTATTAATGCATATTGATATTGCATTGGTATTAAAACTGGGATCAAGAATGGTGAACTATTATTGGCACTGGTATCGTGACCACCCTTACATTAATTATTTCATTTATATTATTTATATATTTAACATAAATACATATCATCAAATATGTAAATATCCCTCACTAGTCATTTAGGGAGCAGTGATGGCGTTTGTGTATTTGATGTGTTTGTGTCTGTGCTCAGGAGAAAGCGGCCTTGTCCCGATCGGCCTCCATTAAAGAGTCTCTTCTGAAGGCTGCGGGTCCTAAACCGGTGCTGAACGAGGACCAATCAGAGCCCAAACACACGAGTCAGCTGGAGTACCGCAGGACTCTGGCCACTCAGAACAGGTACAAACCGCTTCACACTGATCTGAACACACACACACACACTCTCGCTCACTCAGGACTGACCACTCTCCACTGTGTGTGTCAGCGTACAGACGGCCGTCATGGTGCGCGTGGGCACTGAGGAAGACGAGGAGGAAGAGGAGGAGGATGAGAAGCCCTCTAGTCAAGAGCAGGACGTGTCGTATGAGCTGAGCAACAGCAAACACAGCACACTGATGTCAGGTGGGCACTGAAGATGAGCTCTCTTCTCCATTAAACTGCCTTCAGAACATTTGAAAGACCTTCTCCTTACTGCTCTGTGTATCTGAAACTGGAACCACTAACACTATTTGGATTTGCATTTGAAACTTTTTAGTGAATAATATATTAATTTGTATATTTATTTATATGTTCATTTATTTATGAAATTATATATGTATTAACTCTATATTAATTTATATATGTATATATTTAAACATCTATATATTTGTAACTTACATTCATTTATTTATGAAATTATATATTCATTGACATATTTAACATTTTAAATATAACTGTGTATCTGAAACTGGAACCACTAACACTAAACCTGTTATGTATTTGAGTGTTTTATAACTTTTTGATTTTAGCGAATCAAAAAAACATTAAGCACGACTATGTATTTTTGATTCACTAAAAAGAATCGTTCAAAAGAGTCAGTTGAAAGTCATTTGATAGACTTTATTTAATGCCCTGCTTGAACGTGTCAGTGTGATTAACCAGCTTGTCTGTCTGTCTGTATTTATATATATATATATATATATATATACTTTTTTTCCCCATATGTATCAATTTTATTCAGAGGCCCAAACTGAGCAAAAATATATTTGGTGGCGATCCTGATATTTCTATCGACAATATAAACATTGTTTATGATTTGTATTACTTGCATGAACACATACCTTTTAATTGCTGTTCTGTGGAACGGAGAGGATTTTAATTAGTTTTTGTCAGGAAGTGAAGTCAAACACAAAGCCAATTTGTGTTACTTAATGAAAACATAACTCAGGTGTTATGATGTAAATATAAAAAGGACTGCATTATTTAACTGCTAAAAATTCTTCTCGACTGCATGAAGATTGCATTTGTTTTGCACAGCAGTATGAAGTTCACAAAGAAATGTCAGGGTCACATTTCACTCCAAAATCAAAAGAAAAACATCAGTTGTATTTTACATAACGAAAATGCTTTTGGGGCAGTTAAGGTTTATGTTCCAGCTTACCTTTTATTTTTCTATGGCTGAGATATATTTAACTAGAGAGACGAGTACAGAGTATTAGAGTTTTAAGAGGAGTATTCCAGAGGTCGGCTTTAGTTTGAGGAGAACAGCACACGAGGAGTGAGCGTTTAAAACAGTTGATCAAGCAATAAGCAGGGTTTGGTGTTCAACTTCGATGTATAAACTGTAAAGTTCATGATGTATATACTGTACACCATACAATGAGCAGAGCAGAGACGCAGAAGAGGTTATGTATCAGAGTCAATATGCAAATGTTCATATTTCATCTGTTTTATATCATGTGAAATAAATGTTGATGTTCTTATATATATATATATATAAATATGAAAAGCGTTCGATTCCTTTTTTCTGTCTGATGAATATTACTGAATTTAAAAATGTACATACTTTAGTTCATTTTTATTAAAAAAATATGTACATGTATACATTATTATACATGCATTTTCTGTACATTTTCTTTTTTATTTTATTTTAAAAATTACATATACATTATATATTTTCTTAAATATGAAATGTAGATATAATATGCAATGTTTAGCTTAAAATTAATACAACTTTTTGTTTAGCAAAATTAGAAAACGATTCATTAAAATATCTATACAATTCTATATAAATGATATATCATTTTTACCTACAAGTCAAAAATGTTATTTTGTTATATAAAGTATGTGCTTTAGGGCATACTGTGTGTGTAAACATTTTTATTAACTATCTAATAAAAATGGGGGAATTATTTTATTAAGATAATATTGTGAAGTACATGTTAAAATATATATTAAAATTATAAACTTTTAATATAAAATTATTAAAAATGATACATTTTATGTAAAACAAAAGAAAATTATTTTAAAAATTATATTAGAATGTACTTTATTTTATTTAATATATTTTATTTTGATTAACTTAATTTTATAATTATATTATTATATATAAAAATGAGTGTGTGTGTGTGTGTGTGTGTGTACACCTGTATATATTATATATAAATATGAAAAGCGTTCGATTCCTTTTTTCTGTCTGATGAATATTACTGAATTTAAAAATGTACATACTTTAGTTCATTTTTATTAAAAAAATATGTACATGTATACATTATTATACATGCATTTTCTGTACATTTTCTTTTTTATTTTATTTTAAAAATTACATATACATTATATATTTTCTTAAATATGAAATGTAGATATAATATGCAATGTTTAGCTTAAAATTAATACAACTTTTTGTTTAGCAAAATTAGAAAACGATTCATTAAAATATCTATACAATTCTATATAAATGATATATCATTTTTACCTACAAGTCAAAAATGTTATTTTGTTATATAAAGTATGTGCTTTAGGGCATACTGTGTGTGTAAACATTTTTATTAACTATCTAATAAAAATGGGGGAATTATTTTATTAAGATAATATTGTGAAGTACATGTTAAAATATATATTAAAATTATAAACTTTTAATATAAAATTATTAAAAATGATACATTTTATGTAAAACAAAAGAAAATTATTTTAAAAATTATATTAGAATGTACTTTATTTTATTTAATATATTTTATTTTGATTAACTTAATTTTATAATTATATTATTATATATAAAAATGAGTGTGTGTGTGTGTGTGTGTGTGTGTGTGTGTACACCTGTATATATATCCTGGTGGGGACTTGAACCTGAATACACACAGACTCATGGGGAACAAGCTTGTAAATCACACAGAATTAAGTTTTTTGAAAATCTAAAAATGCAGAAAGTCTCCTGTGAGGGGTAGGTTTAGGGGTAGGGTTGGTGTAGGGCAATAGAAAATACAGTTTGTACAGTATAAAAACCATTACGCCTATGGAGAGTCCCCACAAGGATAGCTGACCAGACGTGTGTGTGCGTGTGTGTTCATTATATGATCTCAGAGGCTTTACAGAGAACACTCTCCCAAAACTATACAATTAAATACAGGACAAAAACAGGCTTTTGGAATTTAGTACTTCCATTTATATTAACGTACGAAGCGGAAGATCTTGAGTCCATTACGCGGCGAATTAGGAGTTTTGTCACCATCTGCTGACTCGATGCAGTACTGCAACAGTGTCGCGCCCCCCGCCGCTCATATCGTGTAAAACCCACGAATCATTTCTCATAAACGATCATATAATTTTCAGTGTTTCATAAATGTGAAAATATCAATGTAATAAAATGCGTATTTATTATTTGTCCCTCAAAATGCTCCAAACACAGTTCGTGCGTGCTCTGGGTTTTGGTTCCGGTGTGTAAATCCCATAATCCGGAACCTGCCGCCATCTAGTGGTGCTTTCCAGCAAGAGACGTTTAAATGTCAGAAAGGTTCATCTGACTCATTATATTTCTAGATGAGTCTGGAAACCCCCCACCTGAGACAGACGAGAGAAGCTGCAGATACCAGTTTCTAACCCAGCATTAAGACCGGAATCAGAGGAAAACCTGTGGGCTAAATACAGTAACTCGCTTTCACCAAACCACCGCCACTTTCTGCGTATCACGGGTTTTATTAGTGTTTTTATTACTAAGTAATACATCAAATACACCTCACATTTGTTATATTTGTTAGAATAAAATGCAACAATATTATACAAATGTTTTCATTAAATGTCACGTGGTGTAACCATCAAGTACAGAAACCGTGATTACATGAGAATCTACAACCTAAACATTATTTGAAATAATTTTCCCAAAACAATATATATATATATATATATGATGTTTTTAAAATATATATATACATCATATTTAACAGGTAGAATCAATTTATTGTGTTTTAGGAAATAATAAGAATAATAATGTTAAACGTCTTTTAATAAATGTTTTTACACCACTTAGATTTTTTTTAAGTACATTACCTGTTTCAAAGTATCTCAAGTATGAATTAATAATGCTATACTAATTTAAATGATTCATCTTTTATTTCGGTCAGATTTTCGAAAAAACTTTCAAATAACTAAAGAATTTCATATTATCTACATTGATTTTTACAGTGGTTTATAACACTACTTTTATTGTAATTTACTTCTTAAAGAAGTGGAAATAAATTAATATTAAATGCATTGTATGGGTCAAAATGATTGATTTTTCTTTTACGCCAAAAATCATTAGGATATTAAGTAGAGATCATGTTCCATGAAGATATTTTGTAAAGTCCTGCCATAAATATATTAAAACTTAATTTTTGATTAGTAATATGCATTGCTAAGAACTTCATTTGGACAACTTTAAAGATGATTTTCTCAACATTTAGATTTTTTTGCACTCTCAGATTCCAGATATTCAAATAGTTGCATCTCAGCTAAATACTGTCCTTTCCTAACACACCATGCATCCATGGAAAGCTTATTTATTCAGCTTTCAGATGATGTATAAATCTCA